ATAAAACCTCCACCTACATCTAGCTGCATGCACACCCCACTCTGAACAATGGAATAGGTTTTCCTTCCTCTTAGAATCATCAAAATTAGATTCTGTTCACTCATATTCCATTTATGTCCCAGGAGAATGGAAAGGCCAACACAGCCTGAACTGGTTTGGGGTGCATGAGCAATAAAGCAAAACTATGTTCTCAAGTGAATTTTTAGGGAAAAATCTTCTATTTATCATTTTATGCCTATGAATTAGGTATGCATATGATTAAAATCAGATGCATTATGGGAAGGGATATGTGAAGTACAAAAAGTATTATTTAACCTAATCAATCAAAATAGAGAATCACCTAAATTATGCTCCTTAGTAATCAGCTCCTCCTCCTTTTAGAGTTCACAGAAAGAAACCCCAGGAAGAAACCTGGGCCTTGAGCATCTTTACTCACGAGGCCTGCTTGCAGTCTTGCAGTGTGTTCTGACCTGATCTACTGCTTTGCTTTGAATAAAGTTTCCTTTACACTTTACAGTCTGTGTGGGCTTTAATTTCATTCTTGAATAAGAGGTCAAGAACCTGGAAACACCTGCCCCAGGCCCTGAGCACTGGTAAGTTTAGCACTGGCCTATGGTGAAAACAGGGTGGTGATATCTTCTAGGAAAATGGAGACTAAAATGGTTAAACAAAGGTTTGTGTTCATTTCATGCAATAATTTTGGAAGTTTTCAGTAAATTCGAAATGACAAAACAAGAAAGTATAGAAATAGTTAAATCTACTTTAAGTGTTAGTACTGAAGAGGAAAAACTTCAAACACCTTCTTTAAGGAGCAACATGAACATATTAATTACCATAGCGGATCTGTAACACACATCATTAATTCCAGCACATCCACTAAACCCTGTGTGAGGCCGCAGACACTCCTATCCCTTGGATCCTAAAGCATACGTCCTATACCTTTCCGTCTTGGGATGTAGCTTACTGTACAGAAACGAGATAGCTAATATTTAAACGGATCAAAGACAGGGAAGATGAAAAGAAACCAGGATGGAGAGAAGGACAGAAGGGAGAGGAAAGGGGTGAGATGAGGGAAAGGAAAGCATGGGGGGAATAGCTTTCTTTTTAAAAAAATATTTATTTTTATTTTATGTGTATGAGTGTATTGAGGGCATGAATGTAACTGCATCTGTGTCATGAAATGCCCTCAAAGATCAAAAGAGGGCATCAGATCCCCTGGAATTGGAATTACGGAAGGTTATCCACCACTATGTGGGTACTGGGAATCAAACCTGGGTCCTCTACAGCAGCAGCTAATGCTCATAATTGCTGAACCATCTCTATAGCCCCCAAAGAGCTTTCTTAACCAACAAACTGGATAAACATATTCCAAGATGATTAGTAGTGTAACATTCCTATTTGATCTTTGATTGAGTATAATAGGAAGGAAATTTACCTGTAATACTTGACTCATGCATTCTCTGGACATCCTGTATATTTCAGATATGTACACACTCCAAAAGAGATGAGTTATTTTTATAAAACACAAACACTATGCAAAAATTATGCTCAGTGAAAAAGTGCCTAGAGAGCCATATACATGCACATAGTTAAATATAGAAACTAACTGTAATGAGAATCATTATCTCCAGTTTCCAAGGATACAAGGATAAGCACTACTCCTAAACTGCAGTTCATTCAGCAAAGGGCACAGAGAAATTTATAATCAGGGTCATCACTGGCTGACAGTGGGTGAGGAAGGAGGACCAGGGTAAATCACTCTGCTTAATTCTGTTTGCCACCTACCTCACTTTTCAGTCCCTGACCCCCATCCTTTTGTTTTAACCTTGGCCAATGTTTTCTACGAGGAATCTGAGGACTGTGATTGTAAATGGCAACTTCTGAGACAGACAGATGAGAGAGAGAGAGAGAGAGAGAGAGAGAGAGAGAGAGAGGACACAAAACCAGATATTATTTTTTTACAATATATATTTTTTTGA